ACTAGGCAGCTGGCACCTCCCAGCAGTCCTCTATACATACCTGCCACTTCAGCCTGTATCCCTTGGTGCCTGAGTCTTAAATGTTTATTTTTCCTAATTGTTTGGGCAAAGCCACTTTCACATTTGGTCCCTAAAAATAGAGAACAGAGGGTTAAAGCCCTCTGATGACCTACTGCACACACAGCTGTGCTGCAGCCTTAACACCCTTCTTTGTAGGGTGCCAAGAGGACAGGGGTCTGGGCACACCTGCTGATCCCTCTGCCCACAAGTTCCAGGTGCACCAAGTGGTACTTGTTGCTGTTTGTTCCAAGCTCTTTTCACCATAAGTGGGATGCTGGGGCAGGGAGAAAGTGAAGGTGAGGCTCTATGGTTTGGTGGGGGCTAAGTTTAAAAGGGTCTTGTGGGCCACAGATTTTGAACTTCATCCTTGGGAGTGAGGAACAAGAGGAGGATTTTCAGCCTGAGAGGGCCATGATCGGATCTGTGTTTCTGAAAGATTTCTTTGTTGGCTAATGTAGGGGATGAACTGTAGAGGAGTGGTACTAGATGCTGGGGTTCACAGAAATATTAGCTTCCTGAGGGTTCTGTCTCTTTTGCTCAATACTTTTCTCCAGGGTCTAGAACAGTGCCTGGCACATAGTTAGAAGTCAGTAGATATTTGATGAATGAATGAGACCAGTCAGGAAGCTATTGTTCTGGTGTAGGTGAGAGATGACACTTAAACTTGGTCAGTGGATTGGGGATGGAGAGGAGTTAGGGATATTGAAACAGTCTGGAGGGAGAGTTTAGGATTGGAGGACACAGCTGGATAGCAACTTAATTGGTTTTACTCCTTTAGCCCAGCACTGAGAATTCAGCAGCCAGGCTATAATGGTAAGGATTTTTGTTTGGCTTGAGATTCTCTATTCACCATCCTTGGGGGTGGGCTTCTATCCTGAGGAATTGTGGGCTCCATGAAAAGCATCCTCATCCAGGAAGTCTGGCCTAGGTACCACCTTGTTCTTTGTGACTCCATGACCCCAGGGCTTCTTGGTACAGGAGAGGAATTGTTATTGAATTTGCTGTAGTATATGATAGAAGACCTAGAACTAGAGTTTCTGTCTCTGATATATTTTTCTGTTTAAAATTGAAAGGGATACTGTTAAAATAGTTTCCTTCCTGGATGCTTCCAAAACTCAGCCTCCCATCCTGCATGTTTACCCTTTGAAAACTCATGCAAAAGAATCCCCAGATCTAGTCTGCACATTGAAAAACTGTTGTTTACTCTCTAACTTTTATTCATCTGTTTTTTTATGTTTTTCAGCACAATTTGGGCTGTTCATTACTGTTGTGACCTAGAGCATAATTTCCATCTTAGATAGTTATCAGACAGGTTCTCAGTTGCAAGTTGCAAGTTGCAAGTTCTCAGAAATCATTTGGTTAACTTAAGCAGAAAAGAGATTTAAAAAAATTTTATAACATAAAAAAATATACATATACACAACATAAAAATTGGAATTTTATGTAAATGGTCTAAATGCTGTAATCAAAAGATATAGGGTGGCAGAATGGATAAAAAAAAAAGACTCATCTATTTGCTGCCTACAAAAGGCCCACTTCAGGCCCAAAGACACATACAGACTGAAAGGGAAGGGATGAAAAGACATTCACCATGCAAATGAAAGTGGAAAAAAACAAAAGCTAGGGGAGCAATACTTATATCAGACAAAATAGATTTTAAAACAAAAACTAACAATAGACAAAGAAGGGCATTATATAATGATAAAGGGATCAATCCAATAAGAAGATATGATAACACTGGAGCACCTAAATACATAAAGTGATATTAACAGACATAGAGGAATTGACATAACACAATAATAGTAGGAGGCTTTAACACCCAACTTAAATCAATGGATAGATCATCCAGGTAGAAAATCAATAAGGAAATACTGTCTTTAAATGACATATTAAACCAAATGGACATAACAGATACATACAGAACATTCCATCCCAAAACAACAGAATACACGTTATTGTAATGTGCACATGGAACATAATACTAGAGCAGAAATAAGTGATAGAAACTAAAAAAAAAAAAGAAAAAACTCAATGAAACTAAGAGCTGGTTCTTTAAAAAGATAAATAAAATTGATAAACTCTTAGCTAGACTCATCAAGAAAAAAAGGGAAAGGACCCAAATAAATAAAATCAGAAATGAGAGAGAAGTAACAATTGACACCACAGAAATACAAAGGATTATAAGAGAGTACTATTAAAAATTATGTCAACAAGTTGGACAACTTAGAAGAAATGAATAAAGTCATAGAAACATACACTCTTCTAAAACTGAAGCAGGAAGAAATAGAAAATCTGAATATAGTAATTACAAGAAATGAAATTGAATCAGTAATCAAAAAACTACCAAAAAATAAAAGTGCAGGACCAGATGGATTCATAGGTAAATTCTACCAAACATTTAAAGAAGAGTTAATATCTATTCTCCTCAAACTATACCAAAAAACAGAAGAGGAAGGAAAGCTTCCAAATACATTCTACAAGATCAACATTACCCTGATACCAAAACCAGGCAGAGACATCACAAAAAAGAAAACTAGAAGCCAATATTCCTGATGAACGTTGATGCAAAAATCCTCAACAAAATATTAGCAAACTGCATTCAATAATACATTAAAAGGATCATTCACCATGATCAAGTGGATTTATTCTGGGAATGTAAGGTTGGTTCAATATTCACAAATCAATCAACATGATACACCATGTCAACAAAACGAAAGATAAAAATTATATACTAATGGATCGTTGAACTTTACATTAAGAATTAATGATGTACTGTATGTTGGCTAACTGAACATAATAATAAAAAATTATATGATCATCTTAATAGATGCAGAAAAAGCATTTGATGAAATTCAACATCCATTCATGATAAAAAGTCTCAACAAATTGTGTTTAGAGGGAACATACCTCAACATCATAAAGGCCATGTATGAAAAACCCACAGCTAACATCTTAGTGGTGAAAAACTGAGAGCTTCTCCCCTAACATCAGGAACAGGGGGTCCACTCTTGCCACCTTTATTCAACATGGTACTAGAAGTCCTAGCCACAGCAATCAGATGAGAAAAAGAAATTAGAGGGATCTATATTGGTAAAGAAGTTAAACTGTCACTGTTTGCAGATGACATGATACTATACATAGAAAACTCTAAAGACTCCACCAAAAAACTACTAGAAGTAATAAATGAATTCAGTAAATTTTGTAGGACACAAAATTAATATCCAGAAATCAGTAGCATTTCTATACACTAATAATATAGTAGCAGAAAGAGAAATTAAGTCCACTTACAATTGCACAAAAAAGAATAAAATGCCTAGGAATAAACCTAACCACAGAGGTGAAAGTCCTATACTCTGAAAACTATAAAACATTGATGAAAGAAATTCAAGATGACATAAACAAATGGAAAAATATTGCATGCTCATGGGTTGGAAGAACAAATATTGTTAAAATGTCCCCATTACCCAAAGCAATTTTCAGATTTAATGAAATCCCTGTCAAAATATCAACAACATTTTCCACAAAACTAGAATAATCCTAAAATTTGTGTGGAACCACAAAAGATCCTGAATAGCAAAAGTGATCTTGAGAAAGAAAAACAAGGCTAGAGGTTTCACAATTCCAGATCTCAAGATACACTACAAAGCTATAGTAATTAAAACAGTATGGTACTGGGATAAAAATGGATACATAGATCAATGGAATAAAACAGAGAATCCAGAAATAAATCCATGCTTATATGGTCAATTAATCTATGACAGAGGAGGCAAGAATATACAATGGGGAAAAACATCTCTTCAATAAATGGTGCTGGGAAAACTGGACAGCTACATGCAGAAGAATGAAACTGGACCACTTTCTCACACCATACACAAAAATAAATTCAAAATGTATTAAAGACCTAAATGTGAGACCTGAAACAATAAAAATCCTAGAAGAGAACACAGGCAGTAATTTCTCTTAGCAACATTTTTCTAGATACATCTCCTAAGACAATGGAAACAAAAGCAAAAATAAACTATTGGGGCTACATCAAAATAAAAAAGGTTTACACAGTGAAGGAAACCATCAACAAAACAAAAGGCAAACTATTGAGTGGGAGAAGATATTTGCAAATGACATATTCAATAGGGGTTAATATCCAAGGACTACAAAGAACTTATACAGTTCATCACCAAAACCCCCAAACAATCCAATTCAAAAATGGGCAAAGGACTCAAATAGACATTTTTCCAAAGAAGACACCCAAATGGCCAACAGACACATGAAAAAATGCTCAACATCACTGGGCATCAGGAAAATGCAAATCAAAACCACCATGAGATATCACCTTACACCAGTCAGAATGGCTAAAATAAAAATAAAAAAATAAAACACATAAGAAATAATAGGTGTTGGTTAGGCTGTGGAGAACAAGGAACCCTCATACCCTGTTGGTGGGAATGCAAACTGGTGCAGCCACTGTGGAAAACAATATGGAGGCTCCTCAAAAAAATTAAATAGAAATACCATATGATACAATAATTCTACTATTGGATATTTACCCCAAGAAAATGAAACAATAATTTGAAAAGCTATCTGCACCCTTATGTTTATTGTAGCATTATTTACAATAGCCAAGATATGGAGGCAACCTAAGTGTCCATTGATAGGCATATAGATAAGGAAGACATGGTATAAAATTTTTTAAATTGGAATTTTAACTATTTTTTTTGACATTTTTAAAATTTAAATTCAATTAGCCAAGGTATAGTACATCATTGGTTTTTGATAAAATGTTCAATGATTCATCATTTCAGTATAACACCCAGTGCTCATCACTGGAATTTTAACTATTTTAACGTGCAAGTCAGTGGCATAAACTACATTCACGATCTTGTGCAACCATCACTACTCATTAACAATAACTTTCTATTCTCCCCCTTCCCCATTCTCCCTTTAGGTTTCCAGAGGTAACCTGAATCCTACTTTCTGTCTCTATGAATTTGCCTATTCTTGATATTTCATGTAAGTGGAATTACACAATATTTGTTCTTTTGTGTCTGGCTTACTTCACTTAGCATAACGTCTTCAAGTTTCATCCATGTTGTAGCACATTATCAGTACTTCATTCCTTTTAATGGCTGAATAATATACCATTGTATGGATATACCATATTTAGTTTATACAAGGAAAGGATTTTTAAAAAGGATATTTAATAGGCTGTATAGAACAAGGCCTGAGCCTATGTAACCAGTGTGGAGTTTTACCCCAGAAGATCTAGGCACTGAATTGAAGCTGCCTCTCAACAGTGTGATCTGGGTAAATTACTTTGAGCTTCCATCCCTCATCTGGAAATAGGGATAAAGAATCTTGTGCAGACTGTTTAATCATTTGAGACAATCCATGTAAATCACTCAGCATGAATTTTGACACTTAAATAAAAAAATACTCATGAATGTTAACTGTTATCATGGCTTATAAAAATTATTATTTATACTTCTTCTTCCTAATGCCAAATCAGACAGGCAGAACTTTTTCTAAAACATCTCCTCCTAAGGAGAGAAATAAAATAGCTTTTTTATACATATTTTCAATCAATTGTTTCTTGGGCTTGGAATTTCTGAGGAAAGGAAAAATGCTCCCCTCCTGATCAAGAAGCAAACAACCGTGGTCAGTCCAACCTGATACCCTTTTTAGATGGGGGCAGCTCTAGGGTTTTCCTTTCCAAGTATAAGCCCACATCATGGAAACAAAAAAGGACCAGATGGCTAAAGGTGATGTGTGATAGAAGGGAATAAGATATAGTTCCCGTTGGCTCTAACTGGACTCCCCTGCAAAGTGAACTAGTTATAGACTGGGAGGAGGTTGTGGTTCTTAGAAAGCAGATGGACCTGGATTCAAATCCAAGCTTTGTTGTTTACAGGTCAAGCTTCCCACTTTGTAGGGCTGGGAGAGGTTATCCGTGTGAGCTACTGCCGAAGGGCGCTGTTGGCAAAGGCACTGGGGAGGAGTCCCCAAAAGAAGCTGGAACATCAGGTTGGGGTGTCTTGTTGCTCATTAGTCTGTCATTCCCTCTGGCCTCTCTGTGCTGGTTACCCTGGATATGTTGGCAGTGGGGAGCCTCTAGTGTGGTCTTTCAGTATCACCCTCAGCAAGGAAGGAGTATGACAATTTTCCATCCAATATTGGTTGAGATCTGGTAATTCTGAGTAGAACTTTAAGCCAGCTTGGTTAATCTTGAGATGTAGCTCTGCCCTCTTATTCCCAAAAGTGTTTTTATTTAGTTGTGAAATTGATTTTTTTTTTTTTTTTTTGGTGTAAACCTTGTTATAACAGAATGATCTTCACCTACACTTCGGATGCCCTGAGAAATTAAATTTATATGCTACACTTCCACTTTGCTCATGCTACTGACCAGCAAGACCATGGGAGTGCGGGCAGTTACAAGGTATTTTCCAAAACCTATCATGGACACTTCTCTAACAGAGTCCTTCATTATAAGGACTATAATAATGATGATCTCTCATACACTGCAGGTCATTTAACTCCATTACTTAATTTATTCTTTTCAAAACCCTTTTGTGTCTGACATATGACAGAGGACTAGCCTCCATTTTACAGATGTGAAACTGGAACTCAGACATCAAATGCTAACAGACGGCCTCGTTGGGGTCGGGATCCACACGTCTGACTTCTGGTCCGGTGGTCTACTTATTTCTCCCACTCTGAGCTGGGCAATGTGGGAACTCCAGATTTTATTGACTTGGTGGTTTGTAATATGGTTCACTTGACCTCCCTCTGCCTGGAAAGGGAGCAAATCTGTGATCTTTCTCTCTCTCCAAATTTCCAAAGAGGAAGCAACTCTCAGCCAGAACAGGAGGCTGAGCCTGGTTTGTAGACAGTGGGGCATATAGGTGGCTTATTGCCATGTGCCCTGGGGCAGCAGTAAATTGATCTTTGCTGATCTCCAGCCCTCTGGCAGAGATGGGAAAGGAGGGCTGGGAAAGTGACATTTCTGTAAATAACCACACCTGGTTCTAAGAGCAGAAGGATTGGCATGTCCCTGTAGCCTCATCAATTACCATCAACCTTTTGCAAAGGGAGCCCAGGGGAGAGAATCTCTTCACGCTCTTAACATTATTTATAGACACCTCATCCTGTCCACACTCTGGGGGGAGCGTGGTTTGCTCAGCAGCAGCCTCCTTCCAGATGTGTTTATATTCTTCCAGCCCAGTGGAAAGCATCCTTCAGCCCCTCCACTCCAGGGAACAGAGGGGATGCCTGACATTGGGACATAAAGAAGATGTGAAAGGGAAGATATGAGCAGGATGCCTGAATTTCTCAGTTAGATTCATGTATCTCTTAGCGAGCACTGATTGAATAGCCACTTTGCTGCTAAAGAAGGCAGTTCGGGCAATTTATGGTTAAATAAAAATGCTTTGCAAGCAGATAGACCTGGATTTAAATCCCAGCTCTGCCATTTACAAGCTGTGTGGTTTGGGTTAAGCTTCTACCTCCATTTCCTCATCTGTATAATAGGATAATAACAGCTCCTCTCAGGGTCATTGTGAGTGTTTGAATGACCCTGAGGTCATTCTAGGGCTACTGACACAGCAGATGATAGGTATAAGGTGGCTCTTCTTCTTGTTTTTAATTTTAATTTAAATTAAATTAGGTATAAGGTGCCTCTTCTTCTTGTTTTAAATTTTAAATATGGAATGCTTCATTAATTTGCATGTCATCCTTGTGCAGGGCCCATGCTAATCTTCTCTGTAACATTCCAATTTTAGTACATGTGTTGCTGAAGCCATCACTGGTGCCTATTCTTGTAAGAGACTACTACTTACAGGCTGTGGGGTGTGTGTGTGTGTATCTGTGTGTGTGTATACGGGTGCACGCAAATAAGATTTTGATAGAAACAGGCCTCAAGAAACAAAGACAACATAGGCAACATAGGCAGGGAATTTTTGGTGAAAAAGTCATGATTAAAACCTAGAGAAGGAGACAGCTCTACAGACAAGACAGGTCAGAGGGAACTTCATAGTGGGAGAGAGATTGAGTTAGCAGAGGGTCCGAGGTATGTTGTTGGACCAGCAGTGTGCCCGCCTCATGCCTGTGGGCTGGCAGAAGGCCTTAGGCCAGCTTTTAGGAATAGGTGGTTTAGTCTGGGAAGGTGGCCTGAGGCCATGGGGCAGTGTCAAGGTTTGGTAGCCTCTCCAGATGGGGAATCTTGTTGGCATACCATACTCCACGTGGAGCATTTGTTAAACAGCTAGTCCAGCTCCAGCAAAATGTGGCTGCCTAAAGTGACAGAAAGAAAAGATACATTTTGAGTGAGTTTAATGGGTTTTCCTGCTCAGTTCTCTATTTTCAAAAGACCTACTTCACACATATAGTGATTAGCCGGTTTATGAATTTCTTGCATTAAATAGTTTTTATAACAAATTCAAAAATTCACAAAATTAGACAGAATAGTATAATGACTCCTCATGTCCCTATTACCCAGACACAAAATAAACTCACAGCCACTTTCATTTCATCTGTACCCCTCCCCCATCAGAGTATTTAACACACATCCCCTAAATAATGTCATATGTAAACATTTGTATATGCTTTTCTAAACAATAGAGCTTTTTAAAAATTACAATCTTAACATCATTATTGCATTGAAAAAAATTAGTAAGTTCTTAATATCATCAAATATCCAGTGTTCACATTTCCACAATTGTCTCCTATTTTTTCCAGTTGAATTAGGATCTAAATAAGATTCATGCATTGCAAGCAACTGATACTTCTCTTTGTCTCCTCAATTTATAGATTCCCCTGCCTTTCTTTTACTACTTTATAATTCATTTGTTGAAGAGATCAGGCCATTTCCTATTTTCTAGATAGGACTGCATCCCTCTGGTATCATTTACCTTGCTCCTTTGTCCCCTATATTTCCCATAACATGGCAGCTAGATCTAGTGACTTGTTGGTCTAATTCCAATTTGTTTCTTTCTTTGCAAGACTACATTGTAAGTATTGTCATGCACTTCTATCGCCCAGCACATATGACCTGTTGTCTCTTTTTGTGATGTAACAGCCATTAATAATCATCGTCCAGATTCATGATTTCATTTGGGGATTTGCAAAATGGTGGCATTCTAATTCTATTATTCCTTCCTCATTTATTACTTGGACTATTTCTGTAGAGAGAATTGTTTCCTCTTCACCTATTTAGTTAACTTATGATATAGTTTAATCAGGAAAAACAGGTTAAATGTTTCTTTCCCTATACTTACCTGCATTCAGAATAGTGGGTTGGTTCCCTTATATCCTCCAGAGGTGACCAATGAGGTTTTTTGTTTTATGGTATCATTAGGAAGGAACTCATGAATTTTAACATATTCCATGTGTTTCAATTCATTGCGGTTGTTCTTCTCTTTGTGCTCAGATTTTCTCATCTCTGGCAGGTGAGAACCTCTAAATTGCTTCCTGAGTTCTGACATGGCCATGACCCCAGTCATCATCTTCTGGAAAAAAAAGGTATCCAAGCTTGGAAATGGAAATCTCTCTTAAAGAGAAAATATATTATGAGTTTATACTGATACTTTCAATCCAAATTTAAGATTACAGGGCTTTGCTTAACTCTTCAATTTTATTTCTTTTATTTTTTAATTTTTATTTTTTTGCCTAATAATTTTTTTAATTTAAATTCAATTAGCCAACGTATAGTACATCATTAGCTTTTGATTTAATGTTCAATGATACATTAGTTGAATATAACACCCAGTGCTCATCATATCACATGCCCTCTTTAATGCCCATCATCCAGTTACCCCATCCCCCACCCACCTCCCTTTCCGCAACCCTCAGTATTTTTTTTTTTATTTTTAAATTTAAATTTTTTTTCTTTATTATGTTATGTTAATCACCATACATTACATCATTAGTTTTTGATGTAGTGTTCCATGATTCATTGTTTGTGTATAACACTCAGTGCTCCATTCAGTAACTGCCCTCTTTAATACCCATCACCAGGCTAACCCATCTCCCCCTCCCTTCTAGAACCCTCAGTTTGTTTCTCAGAGTCCATAGTCTCTCATGGTTTGTTTCCCTCTCCGATTCTCCCCCTTCATTTTTCCCTTCCTACTATCTTCTTCTTTTTTTTAACATATAATGTATTATTTGTTTCAGAGGTACAGGTCTGTGATTCAACAGTCTTACACAATTCACAGCACTCACCATAGCACATACCCTCCCCAGTGTCTATCACCCAGCCACCCCATCCTGCAACCCTCAGTATTTTGAATCTTTTCCTCTTACGGGAAAAAATCTTGGCTTTTAATGACAATAGTGTAATTGCTTAGTTGTTTTATCCTATTATATAGATTATATAGATTTTGGACAAATAATACCAAAATATGTGAAAATAGTTATTATTATTATTATTATTATTGCAGTTCTTAGATTTATCTTACTAGAGACTTACAGCTGAATTGTTGTATTTTGAAACCATTTAAAATAATATACCTCTGCATCATATGCCTATTTAATTTTGTTCTTATTTTAGGTGTTGTTTTTTTTCATTCTGATTTGACACTATTTATAATCATCTAAAATATTTTCATGGCTCATTTTCCTAGAAGTAGGCTTCTTGGGTCAAATCTGAAAAAACTGCACTTGTGAGCAGTGCCTAATATATAGAATTGTCAATTCACTATGGTGTTTACCTGAAACTAATATAACATTATTTGTCAGCTATGCTTTGATAAAAAATAATGTAAAAAATAAAAAAACAAGGTATTATTCAGAGAAGTCCAGCTTCTATCCCAAACTCTCCTCTTTTTTTTCCCCTTTCCCTTTAGCCAACAATTTTATTTACTTTATGGTTTATCCTTCTGAATTTTCTACATAGGTAAAACTATACCTGAATCTTACATACATGTGTGCGTATGTGTGTTTGTATACAGAACTATATTCTGGAAATCATGCCATAGTAATATATAGAGATAGTCTGCATTCCTTTCCATAGTTGCATAGTACTTCACTATTTGAATGTACATAGTTTATCCAGTAGATTCCTGTTGATGGACATTAGGTTAGGTTTTTTGCTATTACAAAACAAGTGTTCATGTTTTTGAGTTTCTGTCAGTGTTTTTTAGGACAGATACCTAGAAGTAGGCTTTCTGGGTCAAAGGATCAGAGTGCATATGCTATTTTGCTAAATATCGCTAAATTCCTGTCTGTAGGATTTGTACCTCTTTGCATTACTTCCAGCAATGATGGGAGTTCCTGTTTTCTCAAAGCCTGGTCAAAAGAGTACATGTTGATATTTTGGATTTTTACCACTCTGATAGGTGAGAAGCAGTACACTGGTGTATTTTTTATTTTTATTTAAATTTAATTTAGTTAACATATAGTGTATTATTAATTTCAGGGGTAGAATTTAGTGATTCATCATTTGCATATAACAGCCAGTGCTCATTACATCAAGTGCCCTCCTTAATGCCCATCACCCAATTACCCCATCCCCCCACCCATCTCCCCTCCAGCAACCCTCAGTTTGTTCCTTAAGAGTCTCTTATGGTTTGCCTCCCCCTCTGTTTTTGTATTATTTTATTTTTCCTTCCCTTCTCCTATGTTCATTTGTTTTGTTTTTGAAATTCCAAATCCGAGTGAAATCATACGGTATTTGTCTTTCTCTGACTGACTTATTTTACTTAGCATAATACCCTCTAGTTCCATCCACATTGTTGCAAATGACAAGTTTTCATTTTTCCTGATGGCTGAGTAATACTCCATTGTATATATATACTACATTTTTATCCATTTATCTGTCTATGGACATCTGGGCTCTTTCCATATTTTGGCTATTGTGAACATTGCTGCTGTAAACATTGGGGTGCAGGTGCCCCTTCAAATCACTGTTTGTATCCTTTGGATAAATACCTAGAATTGCAATTGCTGGGTCATAAGGTAGTTCTATTCTATGTTTAACTTTTTGAGGAACCTCCACACTGTTTTCCAGAGTGGCTGCACCGGCTTGCATTCCCACCAACAGTGTAAAAGTTTCCCCTTCTCTGCATCCTTGCCAACATCTGTTGTTTCCTGAGTTAATTTTAGCCATTCTGACGGATGTGAGGTGGTATCTCATTGTGGTTTTGATTTGTATTTCCCTGATGATGAGTGATGTTGAGCATTTTTCATGTGTCTGTGGCCATTTATATGTCTTCTTTGGAGAAATGTTTGTTCACGTCTTCTGCCCATTTCTTGACAGGATTTTTTGTTTTTTGGGTGTTCAGTTTGGTAAGTTCTTTATAGACTTTGGATACTAGCCCTTTAATCAATATGTCATTTATGAATATCTTCTCCCATTCCATAGGTTGTTGTTGATTGTTTCCTTTGAAAAGCTTTTTATCCTGATGCAGAAATCAATACACTAGTGTATTTTTAATTTGCCTTTTTCATATTATGTGTATAATCAAGATCTTTTCATGTAGATAAGGGGCATATTTAGTTTTCTGTGAATTGTCTGTACATTTTCCTAGCTGCTTTCTCCCTATATACCACTATTAGTCTTTCATTCTTTCTTTTTTAAGGCTCTTTATATATTGTAAATGTTAACCCTTTATCTATGATAAAGTTGAAAATTTTCCCCCAGTTTCTCTTTACTTTCCTTATGGTGTTTTTATGCTATGTTAGTAAAAAAATTTTTTTTCTTTTTTTATGTAATAAATTCATTAATTTTTTCCCTTATGACTTCTAGATACTGAATCAGGTAGGAAAGTTCTCCTCACTCCTAGATTATAGAATAATTCAGATTTGTTTTTTCTATACTTGTATGGATTCATTTAATACATTTAATTTCCTAATCTGGGGCACCTGGGTGGCTCAGTTGTTAGGCGACTGCCTTTGGCTCAGGTCATGATCTCAGGGTCCTGGGATTGAGCCCCGCATTGGGCTCCCTGCTCAGCGGGGAGCCTGCTTCTCCCTCTCCCACTCCCCCTGCTTGTGTTCCCTCTCTCGCTGTGTCTCTCTCTGTCAAATGAATAAATAAAGTCTTTAAAAAATACAGTTAATTTCCTAATCCACTTGAAATTTATCTTGGTACACAGTTTGGGGGAATTAATACAATTTTATCCTTTTACCTATGGCTATTGAGTTAGCCTGATGCCTTTGATCAAAAAGCCATCATTTTCCCCACTAACTTGAGATTCTGCCTTTATGCTAAATTTCCAAATGCAGTTGGGTCTATTTCTGGATTTTCTATTTGTTCCACTGGGCCATGCATGTTACCCTGCCACACTCTTAATTAGAGACATTATAGTATGTTTTAATATCTGACAATGCTATCCCTTTCTCATTTCTCTCTCTCTCTCTTTCTCAGGCTTTTCCCCCTTGGCTATTCTTGCTTATCTGTTCTTCCAAATGAATTTTATAAAAAAAAAATTATCTAGCTCCAGAAAGAAACTTACTCATATTTTTGTTGAATTATATTAAACTTATGAACTATATTACATTTTATGAACTTAGGGAGACTTAAAATTTCTGATACTGAGTTTTCCTGTCCAAGAATCTGGTATATCTTTTCATTTAAGCAAGGTTATTTTTGTATTTTTTAATTACTCCATAGTTACTCTTCCTGTAGGTTTTGGACATTTCTTGATAAATTTATTCCTGGGTGTTTAATTTTTTAAATTTTATTATGTTATGTTAGTCACCATACAGTACAACATTAGTTTTGATGTAGTGTTCCATGATTCATTGTTTGGTGTTTAATTTTATTTAATTTTCACAAAGGTGGTTTTCTCTTCCAATATAAACTGATTTTTGTTTTCTTTATAGGAGGACTTGATTTTTGTATGTTGATTTTATAACCTATTTCACTAAATTCTTTTGTTTGTAGTAGTTTTCTAGTCTTGTAATAGTTCGGCTTTTCTAGATACATACTTACATAATTCTTAGCTCTATTAATATGATGGATCATATTAATGGATTTTTAGAATATTGAATCTACTCGGTCTTGATGCATGTTTGAATGTGCTGTTGGATCCTATTTGCTAATTATTGATATTTATAAGTTAGATTGGTCTATAGTTTTCTTTTGTTGATGCAATCATTTCACTTCATACAATAATTTTTTAAAATAGAATATCTCTGAGAAACAGTCTGGGCCTGGGACATTTTTATGGGAAAGCTGTTTTTCTACTTCCTCTATTTCTTCTGTGGTATTTTATGTGTTTAGACTTTCTGTCTCCACTGAGATTGATTTTGACATGTTGTATTTGCTAGAAAATTATCCACTGCATCTACTTTTCCAAATTTATCTGCAAAGTAGACTCATATCATTTTAAAAAGTGCTCAGTCTGATGGTTATTTTCTCACTGTCATTTCTAATTTTATGTATTTAAAGTCCCCGCCCCCATTTTTTTCTCAATTGCAACAGCTAACAGGTTTTTTATTATGTTCTTTTTGTTTTTCCAAATAATTAACTTTTGGATGTATTTATTGGCTCTATTTTTTCTGTTTTTAACTCAAATTTT